ATAAATCTGTTGTTGGACCAACTATTTGAGTTGGCCTAATCAATTCAAAAATAAATTCTTTAATTTTTTTAGGTTGCATTATTTGTTTATATATATTGGTTTTATTAGCATTTTTGATCAACTGTTCGAAAGCTAAAACCGTACTAATCACTTTTCCAGTATATATATTTGATATTGTTTTTGGTATACACTTATTACTATAATGTATGAAAAATGTAAAACTAATTACAATTAAACAAGAAATAAGGAATTTTAAACAATATTAGTTTTGATGATTTGAAAATTTAAGTACACAAGAGTGAATTATACAAAATTAAGTCTGCATGTACATTTATTAAATGTAAATAAATATTTGTGTTTTTCTATAGAAGCAAAATAGTTGTTTGTACATTGTTTATAAAATATGAAAATGTATAGCATGTATAGTATTAAATTTTTATGAAAAAAGTTATTTAGTTGTAAGTAATTATTTCGTTGTAACTAAAATAAGACTTTATTAGTTTCTATCTGTTATTCTATTAAAATAAAATAATAATGCCTTATGATAAGCTATGCTATTTAATAAGTTCAAATCATCAAAATAAAAAATTATTCTCAAAATATTCCACATGGAATTTAGTTTTTATTTAGGTTCTATTTAATACAATGGTAACTTACACTGCTGAAATTATTCTTTAATCTAATGATACCAGATAATATACTGAAAAATTTTAATGGTCGACATTCTTTTTGCATAACATATCATGATTGTAAGTCAATAACTTAAAAATAAAAAACAAAAAAAATCTTAACTAAAATAAATTTTTTATTCAGCGACTTTATTTAACTGAGTAACATTTACGTCGCCTTGTTTGTTAGCTAAAATATGCTCTGAATAATAAACAAATTTTAATTATTAAAATCCCTCCCTTAAAATACGAAGCACTATTTTGGGATGTTTTTTGTTTTAATTATTTTTTAAATTTTTGTTTTTTACTGAAAATATTATATCTTCAATTACTGAGTAAAATATCGATGAAAAGTTAGACTTTCTTTTACAAATCGTTATGTGATGACTACTAAAGGGGTAGAGTTTAGACCCGTCAGCACAAAAGTAGCAGACTGAAGGGTGGCTCCTTGTCAGCCACCAGCACAACTACCTTTTTACTATACCCACTAAAGGACGGTTAAGCCCAAACACTAGCCAGCTCGTACACTAATTATTAAGACTGGCTAAAGGACCAGCAGTCCAACCTAGACTCTAGCCGCACACACACACACACACAAATTTCGAGAACACGGTGAATATAAAATATTTGCGCTAAGCCCAGATTTTTAAATAGTTATTTTATTTACGAAATGTATTAAACACAAAGTCAAATATAATATAAAAATTTAACACAAAAGTTAATTAAATCTTACAAAAGTATAAAGTTATTCTTATATCAACGACCTAACCCGTAACTCGACGTTTCTTCGACAAAACCTCCTGTCTCGTCTCGCCCAGTATCGTCGCCCTATACTTTTCACGTTTCCCTTTTACATTCTTTTTCCCACCATTATTAATTTGCTTACCCTGCATTTCCCTTCTGTATGGAATTATTATATTGCTTAAGAGTTCAAAAATTGCTTACTACTATTGTAAAGCTTATATTATACTAAAATCGACGTAATTTAATACTTCCTCATCTAATTACTACACAGATAAACAACATCGATGTTATCAGTCATCAACTGATATAAAAACATGCCGTAAACAAACAAAGCCGACAGTGTAGTTACAACCATGAGTCTGTAACTATCGTTCTGATGATGGACTCTGCAACGAGTCTGGAACCGTCAGCTCATAACTGTATATATATGTCTAAATAAAGGTGGACATACGGCAAAATATTTAGGTAGCTATCAAAAGTTAAGTTAGATGATTAGGAGAGCTTACGTGTAAAAACAATACTTATAAAATTTTCATTTAGAGAAATTAAAACCCTTGAAAGTAGTGAAGAGCGTTTTAAACTATCAAATATTTTATATGCAAGTAAATTGTTTATTTTTACTATACACTATCAAATATTCAAAATAAACTACCGAAAGTTTAAAAAATAGGCGAATTATTAAAATCGATAGTTACTATTCAATATTTCCCATAATTACTTCAAAGCCTCTCTATGAAATATCTTAATGTTACTAAATTATATATTTTACATTATACCCAACCATAAAATTGTTTGATTATTACAAAAATAATATTTTGAATTTAAGGAACCGATCCCAGGCTAGCGTTATTACACAGTCAATATTTTTATTGACCTGGGTCATTCATACCTGTTATGTTACTAAGAACTTTAGAATAGCAGTATTAACTCTCTAAAATAAATCAATTACTTTAAAATTTTTTATAGTGTTTTTTTATTAACTATTCATTTATTGCCTATTAAAACATATCTAAAATTCATTTTAAAATTCTAAGTCATCTTAAGCATATCAAAGATGACTATTCGTGTTTGTTTTTGATATAAATCGAGTTTACCGGACACCCTTCTTCAATTAATTTTTTTTTTTAATTAGGTTAGTTTTTCATGCTGATAAATAATATGTACAAAATTTTTAGAAGCAACAGATAATTTAAAAGTATATTTGTTTTCATGGTAAAAATGACTACCGTCGTTGAATAATATGCAATTTTTGTGTTAAAATTTTGAGTTTTGTATTTTATTTTAATTTAAAATACCTGACAAGGGAGATTACACTGATTTTCATAAATGTTATATCAATCTAATTCACATAGTATAAAAAGTTAAACATACTTGAATTTTTTTGTTTCTTTGAAGTCGAGAAAAATAACTTTAAAAATTGAACTAGCTAAATTGCCATTTTTATTAAGTGACGAATGCGACGACGGTTTCTGAGGCAGTAACACTTGTGTCTTTCATGCCTGTGGCATTGAATTTTTTTGAATCTTTTCTTAATTCTTTTTGAGTTAGAAAAAGATGTTTAACTCATTTGATTTTTATCTCTTTTAGATTCAATAACTTCAATAAATATCAAGGAACCCATTACTGTAGTCTCTTCTCGTGAGAAGAAATTCATATTAATATTATTTTACTATGTGTTTTTTTTGTAGCTATCATTTATTTGCTCAGCTCTCACTTGGCCTACTTTTTTCTACGATACATCAAAAATTTACAATTCGTATCTAGTGAAACATCTTACCCTCAAAATTTGAAAAAAAATTCCTCTGTATCAATTAAAAAGTTACTTAGCCCATATTCTCCATAAACACAATTTAAATAATTCATTTTTAATGATTTCTAAGTATTTATTGTGGAATTAGATTTGATATGATAATAGGTTTCAACTACAAAATTAAAAATTTTACTTTGTAATTGATTAATTTTTTTTACATGTAAATACTTAATTTTTAATAATAAGTAATAATATTAAAATTTAGAAGTGATAGAAAAAGTCTAATTGCACATTTGAAAACATCGTCAAAAGTTGATTTAGAAAAGTATATTTTTGTTTCCGATGAAATTTCTTTCTAGTCCAGTGTATAAAATACATTATTTTGTTATACGTAACAAAAATGTTTCATTGAAAAGTATTGCATCAATCCGTTTAAATTTATATACATGTTAAAAGTAAAGAAATATACAACTACTTTATTATTTGTATAATATTTCCGTAAAAATTATAATATTAAATTATTGAATATCAATTTCATACTAAATTTAATTACTATAATTATTATTTATTCATATATCATAATTATAAATCAAATAACTAATCGGGATAAAATTAAGGGAATAAGATTTATTGTTGCTTTTGAAATAATCTACCAATTTCTCAAAATTAAACACTATCTACAGATTTGCATCGAAGCGTTTTTTTTTTTTATAGTGATTTTAATCACTGTCAGATGTCATTATACTTGTCCCTACTATGCCACGTCTATACTGTGCTACCGTTTTTTATATTCCTGATACGTAAACGTATATAATACATATTTCGTAAAACAGCCGTCTATCAAATTATCTAATATTTCAATCCCAATATTAACCATAATTAAATTCATTTTTAATGTACGTTATTTACTTATTATAATTTATTAATATAATATAATTATGGTAATTTCAATAAAATAATTAATAATGTATTATATCAATTTTAAAGCATAGGGTATATTAATAAAAAAAACAAAAATGTGTGTGAATATTTAAAATATAATAATTTTTAATAAAATTGTTTCAGCATTGGGCATGAACTAATATACTAGAATTTAATTATAAAAAATATCTTCTCCATCAATTACGATTTAAAAAAGCATGAATTTTTTTTTTAATCGTTAAAGTTAAACATCAAGTGAGAATATGAGTTTATTAGTGTTATTAATTAACTACGTTTATTTGTAGATGAGGCTAAATGATTAATTATATGCCTTTATAAATACGTATAAAATACACTTTATGTTATTTGGTCCGTAATTTAAGCCATCTTGAAAATTGTCATTTTTGTTATAATTCCCCAGCTATAGGGTAAAATGACTAAAACAGTTGTAAAACTTTGTAATGAAAATTATAGTTAAAGAAATGTTTTTTTATGTTCCATTTTCAGTAAAAAATGTTATTATGTTTGATGCAAGTTTTAAATTTTCTTTTTACATTTTATTTGAGACTAAATATATATTGTAATTTATAATAATTTAATTGGTTATGCACTGCAATTACTTTTAATTTAAAATTTTAATACTTTTTTTGGAAATTGTGAAATTAATAAGTCAGTATGTGTTTAGCGTTGATAATGGCAATATTGTTTCCAAAATACGTATCCGCGACTTTTTAGTAACTTTTTGTGGCTTTTGAGTTTTATATTTTTAATATTTTTTAGTTCTTAAATTAATAATATTTTAATATAGTTTTAATCATATACAGGGTGATTCATTAAGGATAAGACACTCGTTTACTCAGTAACTATTGAAAATATTACATTTTTGTACAGAGAAAAATTACTAAGCTTATAAAACTCTAGAATAATATGAAGCTAAATAAATTTTTTTTTATCCCTTCAGGGATAAAAATGTTTATTTATAATTTTTTTAAATGGGAACCACTATTTTTGATTTGATAATATGATAGAAAAAAAAATTACAAGCAACTTTGTTCGTACAATTTTTTTTTTCCGATTAACCGTTAGTCCGTTACAGCTTGTTAAAGTTGAGTGATTTTATGCCAAGTTTCTATTGTTATTTTACTGTATTAAATACAGAAGTCATTATTTTTATTTGCTGTTGCATAAACAAAATTTTATTGATCAAGTTATGACAGGTAAATTAACCATAAAAATTTACGACGCACTAAATGAGTGATAACAATAATAGATACAAATCGGATTTTCGGTGTATTATTAATAGCAGTCTATGGGTATGTAAGACTAAAGCATAAATTTCTTAGCCTCCCTTCACCATAGTATAATAACTAAATACAATCAAATACTACGATAATGTTATCGTAATCATTCTTTACACAAAATAATCTTTTTAACTTTTGTTGACTGATATGAATTAAAAGCTTTAACATAACCATATAAACGCTCGTCTTTTAAAAGATTTTTGTTTGTTATTTAATTATCTTAAACATAACCTTAAAAAACTAAACTGGTACAGTACTAATTTGCTGGCTGTACTACAAGATTGCGTGGTCAAACATTTTTGTACATTAATAATGTTACATTGTTTAATTATTATCTAAATATAGTGTTTTAGTGCAGTAAATTAATAAAAAACTGTTTTATTTGTATGTTGTTACAATTAATAAATTATATTTGAAAGTTTATTGAAATAATTAAATTTAAAGAATATCGAACAATAGGCGAGTACAATAGACAATGAAGTAAATTTTATAGATCTGTCTTAATAATTTTATTTTATGAAATAGCTGCAGAAAAAATGAAATTTACCGAAAAATTAAAGAGATTAATTTTCGAAGATATTTACAGTTTTGGATTTGCTGCTGTCGAATGACAAAATTACCGAAAAACTTAACTTTTTTCTCTTTTGAGAAAAATAAGTTTTGCTGTAGTGACATTTTACTTAAAAAGTAAGTCGATATAATGATGTAATATTAGATGTGTAGTATAATTAAGGCCAGATTTAAAAAAACTCCAGGTTCCAAAAACATGTATTGATGATCTTTTTTTGGCTATAGATTTTTAATTTATTTTCCAACTATTCCAAAATGATTATAATATACAGAACAATATTGGTATACTATATTTAACAATTTTGTAAGTAATTATCTAAATTTAACTATTTGAATATATTTTTTTAAATTGGTTAGCAAATAGACAAAAATTTGACATTATATCCATATTAAAATTAAACAATTTTGTATAATTGGGAATGTTATAAATGAAATGATATTAATAATATGATATTTTAAAACATTTTGTATGTAATAAACTTCAATAACCTTTATAATAAAAGTATGTTAAAATACTATTTTTAAATTGCTAAATTTAAAAAAATGTAATTTTAAACTTTTCACTGATTAATTAAAATAATTTTTATCTTAGTTAAATTAGTGTTCTCAAATTGAATAATTGTATGGATCAGCTACTGAATATTAATACACAATTTTATAAAGAGAACTTATGATTGTGTTATGTTTCACTGTAGATAATAAATAAATATTAAGCAACCATTTTGATATGATGCTCATAGCTATTATTATTTAATTAAGCGTGCATGGATTAGAACACTTAATTTATTTCACTAAATAGCAACAAGTGTCCTTAAAATATATAAAAATTTGCATAAATTAAAATTATTTTGAATTTTGTTTAGAAAGTTGCCAACAGTAAATAAATTTGTTAAAAAAATTGTTTTAATATAAATTCAGTTTTTAGTTTTGATACCTGCTATTGTAAGTTATCATCTGTATTATTAAGTATGCACTTATAAGTAAACTAAGATACTTCAATATCATAAGATTAATATCCTAATCATATTAAGAAACAAAAAAAGATTGTAATCATAATTTTTTATTACTGTCTATCATAATAAAGTCATCTATCGAATTAACATATAGTTCTTGAACAAACTAAAGTGAGTTTAATGAAATAATTTTTCCTTTTTTAGTATTACAAATTTTATTTCATGTAAGTTAATTTATTTTGTTATAAATTTGATTTCAGTTATAGTTTTTGTACAATTTTGATGTCTATTGGTTTTGTATACACTTGTCTTAACATACTACATTAATAAGCTTTAATTTCATATCAGATCAACATTAGAATGAATTGTTATACTACAAATACAGTATTGTAGCTAAATTTCTCATTTGAATTTTCATTGAACAATATTAGATTGCAAAAAAATAAATAAATCTAATAGTAATTGTTAAATTTTTTAATTAAAATAGGGCAATGTAATAAAGTAATACATGTAGTTATTATAGTACTATTTTTATGATGTAATATTAGAGGGAGTAGTAAGAAAATATCTTAAAATTTAAGATATAAGTAATTGTTATTTTATATGTTACTTTCAAGTATTTAAAAAAAAATTATAGTAAAATTATTATTTTTATAGATAATATGTTTACTACAGTAGAATTTTGATAAGGTTAAGAATATTGCGTTCCTTGAAAAAGAAAATTTTACTCAAAAGAAATAAATATTATAGATAATACAAATAAATTATTTGTAGTTGTATAGCTAAAAGATTTGAATGTGGTAGGTTAGACTAGTTAAAGCAATTAGTTTAAATTTAAAAGCTGTTAATTATTAAAATAAATACATAAATTCATTAAAACTTCACAAATTTTAGTATTGCCAATTGGAATCAATCTGTTATATTTTTATAAATAAGTGTTGAATACAAACTCAAATTCTTAAATAATTTTAAGTCAAATTTTTTTTTTAATAGTTCAAAAACCTTATTAAGTTAAAAAAATAATTTCCCTTGAGCCTTAACTTATCCAGGTTCTACTGTATTTTAAAATTGGCATCAGTGCCGTGCCAAGAAAAGGGCATAGGATGATATAAGGTTCATACACTTTGCAATATTTAATTGTTATAATTGATAGTTATTTAATATTATAGGATGCTAACATATAATTTAAAAAAAAATTATATATATAAATTTTATAAATTAAAATAAATAAATAATTAATAAATTTTTACATATTCTCTTTTCATTGTGTCAGTGCTAGGTTTTACAGTTTTTCTTGTGCTTGAAAGAAAGTAGTTTAGGTGGGATACATTTCTTCCAATAAAAATTATTACATGATGAAGATATTATTATTTTTTTTAAGGGAGAAATAATAGTTATTCAGAACAGAAACTCCATACTAGACCTAACCCCAAGACCTATACTAGTGGAGGCATGATTGCAATGCATTTTATGAGGGATCAAGGTTTTTTTTGTGAAACTGGTTTTTTTTCATTAGGAATTATTAAAATGTCTGTATAAGGGTTATCTTAATACTTAATTTTCTATGGCATTACGCATATTCTACATGAATTCATGTATTACGCATATTCTGTCATGGAATAAAGTATAAGGTATAACTCTCATACAGGTGTTTCACAATTCCAAAGTGAAAAAAATTCTAAGTTGAGCAAAAAAAATAAAGTTTTCTACAAAATAATGATAAAAAATAATTGAAACGGTCATTTCAAAAACGACATGAGTAATAAAATTTAAATTTCCATGTATCAAAAAAAACTTAATTACTCTAGAAATTCAACTTGTTTTGCACTTCCACCTATTTACTAATTTATTTTTAAGGTTTCTGGTATTTATAATTCATAGTTTTAAATAGTCTAACTTTGACCAAATTCATTAAATTGAAATAAAACATTTTTGATTTGCATTGTTTTTGCANATTAAAACATTTTTGATTTGCATTGTTTTTGCAGTGAATAGAAATTTATAATATGAAATCTAAATCAAAAAATAAAATAAAATAATATATTTTTTTTTCCTAAAAATTTAACTTATCTTAACTTGGTATGGGTAACAACTTTTTTCAAAATAAAAATTTTGTTGTTTTTGCTTAATAAACCATTGCACTTTTAATAAAACATTTAAAAAAAAATAAAATATTTCTCTTTAATAACAAAAACTTAACTTGACAAAATGTTATAATACAGAAACATTTTTGAATGAAGTCATTGACTTTTGTAGTAAATATGAATCTGACAAATGAAATTTTTACCCAAATACATAAGTATACATAATAATGTATAATTATCAAATTCGACAAAGTCATTACTGAAAAATCAGTGACAAATGTAGTTTTTGAAATGACTGATTCAATTGAAGTGCTGGTTTCAAAAACAATCAGCATTTTGTATAACATACAAATTCATGCAATTTTGATCCTTAATCAGGGCTGGGTAATAAAATTAACTTTTTCATGTTTTTATATTTTGTTTGATAAATTATGTGTTAGTCATTCTTGTAGAAATTTTTTGGGATTTCAACGATTATATTTTTAAAGTGAAGTAAAAATTAATTAAATAAATACAATATTTTAATATAAATTAAAAAAATAATCTATTTTTAAATATGAATCATTTGTCATGATATGAGTATTGTTTGTAAAAAAGTCGATGTGTAATGTGTACATATCATACTTATACTTTTGTGTATTATACTGACCCAACTCTGACCTTAATAGACAAACGAGCAAAAGTGTCATTTTGTTGAGGCCCACAAAAAATATAGTATTTGATAGTTGTTAATTATTTCTATGTACACAAATTTATTCATTTTAAATGTAAGTATAGTATTAATTATAAATTTTTTGTTCTAATAATAATGTATTTATCAGAATATAGACAAGATATAATAAAAATTAGTAATTATAACTTTATAATTAAAATATAGCAAAAAATTTTTCTATACTAATATAATAACTTTATGGATTATTCAATTAAATTAAGATTACGATTGGATCCAAAAATATTTATGTAATGTAATCATTGTAGGAAAGATCTAGCAAATTTTAAGGTTAAATTTTAATGTAAAAATATTAGTAACACAATGTATTATAAGCCATTTAAAATTAAATTTTTTACTTTATTAATAACTATTTTGTAAATATTTTTGTATAGTTGATTAAATTCTCTTTAAAAGTGTAATTTTTAATTTTACCTTGTTATTTTTTTATTTTAATACAAAATAATATTGAAATGTAAATAATATTATATCTATTATTGACTGATTAAGTATTAAGTTTATTTTTTTGTATCTTGTACAGCATTAAAAAATTGAAAATTGTACCATTTTAAAAGCAATAACTGTGATTTGAATTTTTATGGTTTAATTTATCAAAATAAAATTTAATATGGTTTTGGTAATATAGTGAAATTCTAAGAATATTTAACATACTAAAAAATAAGTTTTGAATTTAAATCTATGATTTTAGTTTAAGAACAGTGATAAATGTCAAATTAATTTAAACATGAAATAACAACTAATTAGATAATTGATTTACTCTTTATTTTGAAATTAGAACTCTTTTAAATCGTATAAATTGATTCTTGATATTGTGTAAGTAGTAAATATAGTTATTAAAATAGTTAATTAACTAACATACCAATATACTGCAATAAAAATAATGTACACATTGATAGCGATGAAACTTAGCTGAGTTCTTATAGCCGATAGGAGGTTTTAATGGGATAAGTTACTTCTAACATCTCTAAGAAAGGTTAATTATTAATAATTTTTTTTTATTGAAAAATTATTAAAAAGTTATTTCAAATTTAAGTTGGTAAAAAAGTATAAAAACACTGAATATTCATTATTACCAGTATTCATAAAAATACCCGCCCTTATCTTTTTTTCAAACCTATTAAAAGGTTTGGTTTTACCTGATTAGCGGGAAAAGAAAAAAAGGGAAGTTTTTATACGCGCAAATTGAAAACTGCTCCTCTAAAATAACTAAAATACTACCATATACATATAAGTGTAATTATAACCTAAAATTAACCTTCTAAATGTAATCGTGCTTAGACTTTTACATGAATTTATTAACAGTCCTTTGCATTACGAGTGTTGTGTGCAAACCGTCAGTAATAACATGTATGTTGGTTAAACTATACATGAAACTAATATAAACGTGTTAAAAATGAATATCATAATACGTTATTGTTAATATTATAAAAATTATGGAATATTTTTCTTCAAAATTTTATGTTGAAGTACCAAGTATAATATACATATGAGCTATTCATAAAGTCACATCTGATTACTTTTATTAATAAAGCTTCACTTTCATTAATTAAATGTTTACAAAACACGTTTTACTGAAGTTTATTATATGAATTATTGAGTTGTTTTATTTGATTACTGCTACTATTAGTGAGTAATATTTTTTTTAAACAATTTGTAATTTTTTACTAACGCATCATTTATTATTCATAAATTTATATGTATATGGTTAAATGTATATATAATGTATATTAGGAGATCAGTGAAGGATATTAGGTTTTTGAAACTATATAGATACATTTTATTGAATATGAAATAAACCCCTAATTATGTTTAACAAAGNAATATGAAATAAACCCCTAATTATGTTTAACAAAGAAAAATAAAGATCATCTAAATAAAAATTTCGGTCATTTTATGTATCCTTACAAATTAGAAAATTTGATATATATATATATTTTTTAATTAATTCAATTGATGCTGACTTAAAAAAATTAAAGTTAAAAATTATAATTTTTATAATTGGGAACCCCTATTTTTAATCTGTTAATATAATAGAAAACAAATTTGTTTTGACAATAAAAAATCATTAGTAAATTGATATCATATTACTAAACTTATTATTTCAATTTATGTGCTTTTGAAACAGATTTTTGTTGTTATAGTGGTGGGAATTAATAAATAAAAAAATTATGCTTTCATTAAATAAATATCATTTTATATTAATAATTTAAAACAATTAATGTACATCTAACATGAACGGTTTTATGATTACCATTACAGAATAATAAAGAACTCAGTAAATATTTAAATAAAACATTAACGAGTTTATATAATTTGATTAAATTTAATAAACAAAGTGACCATTGGTACTAAGATTGAATTTACGAAGGTATTATTAAAATGAAAAATGTTTTAAATCCGCTGAAAAATTTAAAAAATCTTTGACCAGACAAAGGATGCATCTATTATAATATTATTGATAATAAGTCATGTATAAACTCTTCAATTTGTGTCATTTAAATAAGTACATTTTTGCTTCATGACGTCACCGTGGACACTAGCGGCATTGGGTAAAATACCGATTTCTATGTATTCTGGTAGGTGGTTCGAATCTCGTCGCAGCGGTGTTCGTAACGCGTTTTTCGAGATATGTGAGATGTGGCACTTTTCTTCGAGAGCGTGTTTGGTAACGTCGGTGAGGCCAGATATCGTACCATCACTCAATGTCCAACTAGTGTCCACGCTACCACCAACATAATTCAGGGGGGTATACTTTCTTTCCCTCCTGATTTATGTTGGTGGTAGAAAAATAATTTTGCTCGTTTTTTCTTTTTTAGATTCTTTAATATTTTCTTTTTTAAATTTGCAATTGTTTTAAAAACATGATACAAAATACTATTAATAATAATATTGATTTAAAATTATATTTTATTTTTCTAAAGATAAATTTTTGATTTATTAACTTTTAGAGCATTAAATCTTTTTATAAAATGTATATTACTATTTTATACATATATTAAGTGATATTCAAAATCACTTTATAATTATGTGATTTTGAATAGCACAACGACTGACCATGGTACAAAGGTACTTTGATATTTAGACAGAATTTCCATATACATATTTTGATAAAAATACAAGCTGTTTACGATTAAACAGATAGAACATGTATAATTTTATTGCACCTATCGTATCTTATCTTTCAAAATGAACGTTTATTAAAAGACATAATCTTATACTAAACGATAGTTAATAATATACATTGACGAAAAACCAGCCCGGATATTTTTCTTAATAACTACCATAAAAAATTATTTGTGAGCTATCATAACCTATTATTGTCATCACAGTGGAATCNGTGAGCTATCATAACCTATTATTGTCATCACAGTGGAATCAAAATACCGGTTGCACTGCCACCGATTTTATGAAACGTAATATATGACAATATTTATTCTTGAAGTCAAAATCTTTAAACAATTATAAAACGTAAACGGTTGTTCGGATAAAAAAAATTGTAAGAACAAAATTATTTGTAATTTTTTTTCTATCATATCAAATCAAAAATAGTGGTTCCCATTAAAAAAAATTATAAATAAACATTTTTTTCCCTGAAGGGATAAAAAAGAAAATTATTTAACTTCATATTATTGTAGAGTTTTATAAGCTTAGTAATTTTTCTCTTTACAAAAATTTAAAATTTTCAATTGTTACTGAGTAATCGAATGTCTTATCCTTAATGAATCACTCTGTATATAATCAAATTTTTATTTTGACTGACCAATACCGCCCGCGTGTAATGCGCCTTACGTATATATATTTATATATTCCTACCGCCGCTGACGCCGTTTATACCTTAGGTATAACGTTCCCCCCGCCCACAAAACAAGGCTATACCTAGTGTATGATACGTTTATGTACTTATGTCAACTTACTATATATATGTATGTATGAATGTGTATATATACAGAGTGGCCCACCACTTNACTTTTGAATGAGAGTGATAAGTAATAATTGCCTTATCTAATTTCTTATCATGGTATAATGCCATGTTTGTAATGTATACACAGTAATCATGAAAAGATTTATCACAATAATACTTGTATTTTTCGTTCATTATTGTTTTAAGCTTATTTTAAAAATTATTTTTAA